ACGTAAGGTATTTTGTAGAAATCTCTAAGGGCTAAATGGTACCTATTATGTGTTTTCGGTGTAGTTGATGATGATAATTTATCTTATTCTCAAAGAAATAAAATAGTATTGTTTTTTTTTCTTAGTTAATTGTGACATAGATTGTATCATAACGCTTAAATAATGCGGGGCATAAATGTGTGACATGCTATATCTGAAGTACGGATATTAATTCTTAATACATCTTTTGACGTAATAAAAGTAAACCTGTCTGGACCCAAAATAGAAATAAAATTATTCCTTAGCACATCAAAGTTGGTAGGTAACATTTTCATGTATAATGCCATATGGTGGTACATTTTAACAGGATCGTTGTTCAATGACAAAATTTCGTGTTGTTTGTGAATAGTGGCCACACATTGAATTGAACAGTGTACACCTAGCTGTACCGTAACAGGAGGAGGTCTGAATTTTTCCGGTAAAGACACTACTTATGTCCCCAGAGAAAGAAGCTTTGGAGAAACAAACAATTTTATTTATTTGTGTCATGTTTATAAGACGAAGAAGTTGACGAATAAGTCAATTAATTTCGTTTTGTTATGTTATTGGGAAACATTATTCATTTAAATATAACGTTAACATATTAATATTAAATAGTATATCATTATTATTTAATCTGAAATATCACATGACACCGTGACTTACGATAACGGTAATGGGTGCGATATGTGTGTACAAATGTACAATACGATGGTCGACAAAGAACTGAGTGTATTACTTCTATGAATAATTATATTGTATCGAAGAAAATAATGTTATCATACTGTCAACATCTATAACAGATAGTTCAGCATCATATTATAAGCTTTATTAACTTTATCATTTATATATTAAAAATAATTCCTGAACACGCGGGGATTTGTTGTCGTGGTTATAACCCTTATGGCTTAATATCTAGATTAATATTATAACAATATCATATTATGATAAATAGAATATAGATAATAATATGCTCATTACGTTGCCGCTAAGATCAAGAATAATACGAATTTGTTTGCAATTTTTTCTTGTTTGATTTTTGTTTTAATGTTGCAATTAATATTGTTGCTGACATGTGTCTTGTATTATTTTTGGACATTTATATTAAGGCCTCGGACATAAGTTTCCCTTACTTATTGTAGTATTCGACTGAGAGATTGCTATGGAATTACCATTACCTATATGAAAACAAATACGAATAATAATTATTAAACTTAGCACAAATCATGATTTTGATTTTCTTAAACTATAATTATTACAAAACATAGTACAAATAATGAAAAGTGCGAAATCATAAGGAAAGTGGTGGATATTACAATACTATATCATTCGTCGTTCAATGGTTTTAATAGGACTATGGATAGTTTTTATTTATTTGTAATCATACTATTATAAACTTTTTGTATATATATACCTAGGTACATTTAAAACCACGAATCTTGTATGATCTAAGTGGTGTCACTGACAACTGTTTTTAAATAACCAGCATTGGTCATTGGGACAGATGTATTTAATATTATTTATATTACAATATTACATGAATTACACAAAAATGGATAAACGGTCAACAAATACATGAATGACAAGCTATAACGACATAATAAACAGTTATGAGATAATATTAAAGTTGATTAAGTAAATTGGCAAATGGCAGCATTTTATGATGGTGAAGATAGAGTCGGGGCTCTAATTGTGTGATTTTGCCAGTGATTCCGGATGTTAAGAATTTTCTCTTTCTTATTACTGACTTATAATGTATGATTGTAAAATGTTGTCTATTTATTAACTTAAGTAGGGACTGATATAAAAAAAAACTTAAATATATTGTAACACAAACATTTCCGATATTATTGAAAACAATAATATAATAATATAATAGGTACCAAAATTTTACCCATACCTACGTTTTATGCCCATAGAATAAAATAAAAAATGCCATACGTTTGAGATAAGACAATTACTTAAAAATTGCTGCATGCCTACATTACCTTACGTATACTATAATATCATGAATGAACTCCTATATTGTGACCCTTTTCTGTTATTTACAAACTTTGTCTATAGATCTATTAGTAGGTAAAGGTATTTCATTATTTTGATCTTTGTAAGTTGTGACGGATTGGAGAGAATGTTACAAATAAAGACGGATGGAACTGAGAAATTAAAAGAATGAGATACATAAAAACTAAATTATCGTATCATATAACTTACTCGATCAATGGCATAAATTATAACAAATTAAGTAGTTATTTTAAACAAAACGTCGTTAATACCCGTTTATCAAGCCAACTTATTTTGATTAGAAATGCAATTGGAAACGAATCAAAATGTGTTTTCGTGATAATTTATCGTATTTCCATTAACAGACGGTGGATCATTAATTTTACAAGAAATGTGAAACACGCCGTTGGATTAGCAATATAATACGAGAATATATAATATATATAATATATAATATATAGATTTTTTTGTAATAATATTGAAGTTGATAAATTTCTATTTTGCTTGAAAGTAAAAACATTGCAGACATTTTTTTTGTGTTCCTATTGACGGAAAACTCAGTAGGTCATAATTATAGCAATACTGTAGCGAAATGGAGATTATAAAGAAAATTAGTTTTTTTGATAAATGATTACAATATATTACGAAGTTCATGCGATAGGAAAATGTCCAAACAGTAGATTAAGGGCTTTATAACTCTGTCTTCAAATGTAGTAAAAAGATTTAAATTTTAAATTGTGAAAAAAGGGGTGGTCCCCTCTGTACAGTAAGAGTTGAATGTACCTCGTTATTAAGTAGGTCACTGTAATGGATATTATGTTAAATTTTAATTCAATGATAAATCATTGTATATGAAAAACGATTCTGAGCGGAGTCAGTCTATTATCAAATAAGTATATTGCCATTAAATATTATAGTAATTATTTTACTAGGTATTTATAGGAATACTGTAAATGGCCAATAGCATAAAATTTACCTAATTTTTCAAAAATGTCATTGTGTATACCTATATAAAAAATATATAATAATATGTGTAAATGTTTCAAACCTCCACGAAAAATGTTTTTAAATTACAACAAAAAACTAGAATCGTTATTCTTCGTTTAAATATCGAATTTCGTTTAAATTTGAACATTACATGCCTATGTATAAAAAAAGTTAAATACTTTTTGGTTACAGTATGAACCACTTACAATACACCTTGTATTAAATTATCCTTAGCTATACAAATTTAACATTTTATACATTTTAGTAACAAAATAGTTTTCAAATTTTCGTGATGTTAACATTTTTTTGGTAATTTTAATTTCAAATTCTTATATAAAACACTAATTAAATGGCTATAATAAAAACTTATGAAGACTTCTATTATGTTTTCAAATTTTTTAATAATATTTATGGAAATATATTTAAGATGTCAAATGTCTTTGCATAGCTGAAAAAGAGCCAAAATATATTTTAAATCATACTATGAGTATTAAATCACAATATAAACGTTTGGAATGTCAATGATTTACGGTTGTTAGATTTTGAATTGCAACAAAATAGGAAAATCGTTTGATGAGAAATCGATACTTTATGCTTGAATGTCGTTTTTCATCAAATTTTAAACTGCAGGCGCTCATAAAAAATATTTTGAATTAAATAATTTGACATCTAAGGAAAACAAATCGAAGCTGTAAGATGTCTATATTATAATATTAAAAACACGTTAAAATATTTTAAAATTTTATCACGTACCTACAGGAAAAAAACATTTGGTAAAAATGTCAAGTACCTATATTTACAGTCATTCTTTTCTGAATTACACCTAATCAACAAATTCAGCCAAAATATGGTTTTGAGTTAAATTTTAAATTATTTGTTTTTGATGACCATTTTGAAAAATACTGGTAATTTTCAATTTTGACCTCATAAAAGTTATAAATTAGATTCAATTTTCTATTAGAAATCACTCACCAAGTTGAAGATATAAGCATTTTTCTGCTATTTATGGGTGTACACAAAAATAAACAAACAATGTAAAATCAATACATTCATTGCTTCGCTCAGAATCTAAAAAAGACGTTATTTTTATTGGGTTAAAATAATTAATCTAATATTGGATGATTTTTGATTGCATATATTATTAATTTAAAAATAATGTATATTAGTTTATTTTTTAACAAATATTTGTAGTTCATTCATCAATATTGTGTATGTTACTATACAATTGATTAGAATTTGGAATTAAATGAAACGTTATGTCGTTATGATTACTAATTTTAAATGTTCATATTACATAGATATTTCAATCCTTTACAATTATTAATATTACATTGATATTTATAATTCTGAATTTTAGTAATAACCAATATTTTATAGCATTTTATATCCATTACCTCAAGCTTGAAAATACTCTATAAATGTCGATACCATCGAGAATTAATTTATGTGGCATAATATCATATTTGATATTTTGATGCCTTACTGATTTAATCATATTTACTTAGAAAACATTTAAATTGGTATCAAAAATGCGTTTTAGTAATCTTTTTGTGATAATGCGACCGGTGGTTACATGCATAATTTTTTTTAAGCTAAGCTTAATAAAATATGTCATCATCGTTAACGACGTCTAATGTAGGATATTTCGGAATATATTATATTATTAAGACACGCGTGTATATAATATATTTGTATTCAAGTACAATTAACAAGAAACCGTAATCTATATTTTACAGATAATGAATTGGACGTGGTGAACTAATTTGCGGAACATTTGATGACGCCAGTAGTTGAGGACTGTTAGTGTGCGTATACGCAAGCACGCACATATGTGTGTGTTGCCAGTGTAGAATCAGTTTTGACGTGAATAAGCGATCCCTTCACTTGGAAGCAATATACATACCACCGATTCTACCTCCGCCGCCGCCGCCGCCGCTACTGTCGCCACTCAAATCGTTGTCACCGCTGTCGCCACCGCCGCCACCAACGCTGTCATGGAAGTGATGGATTCTGACGCCAACACCGTGTTGCACTCGGTCACCAAAGGCGTGCACGTCGGTCCACCACCTGTCTGGCCCGGCATGGACAACGTCACGAACGCGTCCATGTTCGACGAGTCAAATCTGCCGTATGATATGAAATTCAACGAGGGCCACGTGGTCGCTATAGTCACTTACAGCATACTCATGGTAGTCTCAGCCATAGGCAACATCACGGTGCTGACCATCATCCTGAAACGCAGGCGCAAGGCTGGCACAAGGATACACGCGATGCTCATGCACCTTGCCATCGCTGATCTATTGGTAAGAGTCAACTTACTTGCAGTTTATCGGTTATCCGCGGTTTTTTATTATATATGATGCATTTTTTTTTTATCACAAGTCAAATCTACTCAACCTCCGCATTGCTCAGAAGTTAATTTACCTATATTAGGAGATCGGTGTAGGACAGTTACTTTTTAGCCAAAACATACCAATATTTCTTTCATCACACTGATCGATCTAGTAATGCGATAATATAGTTTTAAAAACTAATTTAGATTCGTTATTAGGTCTAATTAAGATAGGTAGGTTCACTTTTCCCAATTTCTTAGTTTGAATATTTTTAAATCTTCTTACTATTAATAAGTATCTAATATTATATCAAAATAACCACAGGTGTAAAATATTGGCTTTATTTTTTGAGAATAACTTAAATATATGTATATTTGTTTAGCATTTTTGTATTATTCATTTATTCATATTACACATATTATAAGGAAGTTATAAATGCACTTAAAATTATCGAAATGAATTTAACGCATTTTGAAATAAAAAATACTATTCCGTATAGGTAGATACTATAGTTTTAAATACTATTCGTCATCGAAATGTAGGTATAATGTGTTTAAAAAAATGTAATTTAAATTGATTTTTATGCATATTTTTTTTTTATTATAGGTAACGTTTTTAATGATGCCGTTGGAGATAACGTGGGCATGGACTGTGCAATGGGTGCTCGGTGATCCACTATGCCGCATCATGTCATTTTTCCGAATATTTGGATTGTATCTTTCCAGTTTCATATTGATTTGTATCAGCGTTGATAGGTGTGTATTTTTTTTTTTAGTTTCAAAACTTTTATACTTTGTTGTAGTTAGACATTATATAATATATTCAGTGTAAAATATTGCATTAATATTATGCACCATGTTTTAGTTTTTGAACTATAAATTTTATTTAGACTATGTACACGGTTAGCGAAATCATAAAGCGAACTGAGAAGTAGGTACATTACTTCGTGTTTCTGCAAAAAAATAATAAAACTTTTATTTTTTTTATAAGAAATATTGTTTAATTGTTGACATATAATATTATATGCATCGGCATACGCAGACTATGTGCAGGCTAGAGGGATTAAGCACAGCCTCAAGTCAGCATTTCAAAGCTATTCTTTGAAATTGTAGTAAGCTATAGATATGCATCTTTATACTTATTATCATTTTTTTTTAAATCTCATTTTATGGGTAATACTTACAGCATAATTATGATTAATCTAAATTATATATACTGGTCTACTCAAATTTTTCAGTTACTCATTTATTTATTATTGACAGATATAAATTAATTAAATAATAAAAACTAGATTCGTTGTTTGTGGGAGTGGAAATATTTTTTATTATAATTCTATTGGTTAGGTTGATGAAAAATTGTATTTTTGGATATTTCATTTTATTTTTCTAAATATTTACAAAATGTATATTATTGCCATTTATGCCATTACAATGATTGTGATACGCGTTGATCATCAATAACAGTAATCAATCACATTATTCTTTGAAATTTAAAAAGAAACAGGAATCTATAATAATGTCTTTCCCGATTTAATTTTTCAAGCACTGTTTTTAGCAGAAATTTAAACTATTTTTGGACGTTTGCTGTCATAAATTATATGATAAAAAATATAATAGGTTCAATAAACGAATATTTATTTTGTAGTATTTTTTTAAAAGCAATCTAACAACATTTTATCAACTAATGATAAATTCGTCTCATTATGTTTTTTTTGTTTTACAGTCACTAGCCGTTTATATAGTTACATATTATACAATTTTCTTATAAGAGCTGAAATATATGTATTATATATTATAATATAATATTACCTATGTATAGACCTAAATAATATCTAGTCTTATCATAAAGAAATAACTTTTGTTGTTTTTATCTAAATTATATTTTAGATCTTAGTGAAGTTCATTTTTAAATATACCAAACTATCTTGTTTGCTTCTGACTTAATATTGGTTATCACTTATAAGTATACTTTTCTAATTTAAATTTCCAATATAATGTTAATTTAAGGTTAAATTTCACCTTGACCCAACCATGGACTTATTTTATTACCATTTTTTATGGGTTGGTTTCATTATAAAATATATTGTAATACTCAATATTAAAATTATAAAATAAGAAAACATACTTTTACTTTTACTTTCAACAAAAATTAATTTTGATAGCAAATTTTCGTACTCAATAGTGACATAGGTAACTATTTTTAAACTTTTTCTTCTGTAATCACCATATATTTTTGAGTGCAGTGGGCGTTCTTCAGAGACGAGTGATTTTTTTTATTAAAGTTGTATTAATCAAGCTTTTCTCGATGAGGAATTGAAGTTGAAAACTAATATTCAAATATAAAACCTTTTTATCTGTAGGAAACACTCTCTTATGGTACCTATATATTATTATTATCATCAATAATCGATATCTTAAATGTCATAATTTCTTTGAAAATCTTAGATCATATTATACGATGGAGTCATGCACATATGCCAATCACGCCCCTGTAAATAATTCGACGCACATACCTATATGCTACATGCCAAATAATTTATAAACATTTATCAAAACAAAATAGGTTTAAATAATAAGTTAAATATATTTCAACCCATTTTACTCAAATAAAAATTTCAATTCCGGAAATTATTATGTTAATGGCCTAATCCGGTAACAACACCTAGTCCCGAAAAACTTTTTCGGAACACCAGGACATGAGTTCATAAACCAGTAACGGATAAAAGATTAAAAAAAAAACTATTTTATTAAATTATGTAATTCGTTTTGAAATATGACAATCAATCAATAATTACAAATTATGACTTTTTAGTTTTTATTAATTACGGCATTCTGAGTATAAGTATAAAATATAAATTATGAGCTTATTTGCCAAGGTAGTTTCGGATCTTCAATTGAAGTATTAATAATGGAGTTTATAGATCTGAGAAATTAGACACGTAACACATATCTTTAACTGTCATTTAAGTGGCATCTGAAATATTGCATACCATTAGTCTTAAGATTATATTTTATAGGTTTATTATGAACATTGAACATTATAGAATAAACATTTTTTCGTTTATGTCCTATTATAATTTAAGGTTTTACTAGGCTATAAATTTAATACGTTATAGTTAACAAAATTCAGGGGGGCCAACTTAAGAGTATAATATATTTTTATAACCTGCCTAAATCCTCAAAATAGTTGAATTTTGTTATAATAATGATGACTAAATTAGATATTAAAATTGAATTCAAAATATATATATACAAGCCGTTTCAGACACAACATTTGGACTTGCTTTTATAGTATAGAATATAGATAGGTACATAAATTAATGTATGTCTGTCTGTCTGTGTGTCTATATTACCATGGCAACCATTTATATAGGTACTATTTTTGTATATAAACAATTTAAATCTTTGTCATGGTGATATTTAAAACATATTATTCATTTAGAGTTGGAATTTTCATGACAACTCTTGAAAAATTTGTGATTGTTCAACTCCTTTTAAATGTAACTCGTTGCAGTAAGTGAAACTCATCCTGGTAGGTAATCCGACTATGGCGGACAATGTGTGGCAGCATATCAAGTAGGCAACAACACACCGATGAGCGGCTATAAGTGCAACTCAGCCACCTTTGTAGGCAATGTGAATGCTTGTACCTGATCTGCCCGATAACCAATGGCAATCAATAAAATAATAAATACTAATTTCTACTAATTATTTCTCCTATAACCAATAGTGACCATTATAAACAAAATTGTCCATCGTAAATCTCAAAATTCCTGTTTGAGCACCTCCTCTGGTTGAACCTACCGGGTCCAATTGTGAATCTAAACCTTCCTCTTAAATCACTCTACCAATTAAAAAAAACGCATTAAAATCCGTTTTAAAGATCTAATCATACAGACAGACAGTGGGACTTTGTTTTATACTATGTTAAGATTAGACCTCTGTGCAGAAGATAGGCCAATTTAAAAAGGGATAGGACCAACCTCCGGGAGGTGCTCAAACAGAGATTTTGAGATTTCCGATGGAATTTTTTGCATATAAATGGTTGCCATGGTAATATGTAAAACATATTATTTATATAGAGTTGGCATATTTAATGGGCAACGAAGTGCATGGGATCAGCTGGTTTTTAATAAAATTTACTGAAATATAGTAACGAAAATTATACAGTATGTACAATTGTACAATGTACATAGACATTATAATTTAACATGTTTTCAGATAACAAATTATAAAAGAAATATAAAAAAAAAATAAAATAAACAAAGTGTTACGACCAAGCGTAAACATAATAGGTAGGACTGTAAGAAAATAATATCATGATTCATGACTATTAAAATAACCAAGTTCTTATTTTTGTTATTTATTAATTGTATTAATTGAGAAAACCCATATATTTGTGAGAAGATATTAAATAAACTGAATCTTGATATTATAATTATACATTTTTAGATTAACTAAACGTAATAAGTAGTCAAATCGGTTATAACTTATAACACTGTTTATTAAAAAATATATAATATATTACATGAGTTCCTTCTTCTGTTGGGCAGAGATTTAAGATTTAAAAATTAAAAATATTATGAGATCAAACAAAATTAAATCGTCTAACAATGTTGCATTTAAAACAAATGTTCTTTACTATATTTATTATCAGCTTTAATCAAACATTTAAACAAATGTTATAACTACCTATCCAATATTATCGTTGCATACTGATTGAGAACTGGTGAGAGAAATAAAAAAGCATTACAATGTGAAACGATCATTCAAATTAAAGCAATCACTCATAAAAAAATTTAATAAATGCTTTAAATAATGTATTATTTTTTGTGTCATTAAAAATCATAATTCATGTTTAATTTTCTAATCCATATTTTATTTTTAATATCGTTTTTAGATACTTGGCTGTTTTACAGCCAATGCGTTTATATCAGATGGATCGCAGGGGAAAGTTAATGATTGCAGTGGCATGGATTGCATCAGTTATTTGTAGCTTACCACAGGTAACTCTTGTTTAGTTAGGTTATCGTTAGCACCCACGTTTGTTTATATAATTAAAGTAGGTATTTTCAATTTCCATGCATTTGTAAATATGCCATATATTACAGTTATTTGTTTTATTATTTAAATATATTTAAACAAAATCTTTATTTAATGATTATTATTGAAGACTATTTAAAATGTAAATATTTAAAAATATTTTAATTATATTCTTTGATAATTGGACTAATTGTTAAAAATGTTGTAGATTTATGATTAGAATCAATGGATAAATATTTGCCTATATTTATAAAATCACCCATAGAAGATAGAACTATGAACAAACTTTGGACATTTAACTCATTAACAAGATAAAAAATGTTTGCTTTATTTACACCGTAGACTTACATATTTCACGTGGAACGACACCCTAATGCCACATGGTACGAACAGTGCGTCACTTATAACGCTTTTTCGTCCAAATTGCACGAGCTGGCTTACTTATATTTCGGCATGTTCATGATGTACTGGTTGCCTCTAATCGTTATACTATTCTGCTACGCTTCCATCATCATTGAAATATATAGAAGGTCCAGGGAATCGATTTGCGGTCAAGGTAAGTTATAGAGTTATTTATAGGACTCTGATTTTAAGCATTGGAGTTACTGGTTTTACAACATAGGTGGGTAAAAAATGGGTATTAGCTTGTCTAAAACACTTTCTTAGGTTTGTGGGAAATTTTAATTTTCATCTCAGTGACCCATTAATTCATTCAACCTTAGTAATCTGTTCACAATTTTTAATGTTTATAATTATGTTTTCCTCAAAATATGTTTTTAGCTTCTATGCGTCAGTGAAACATTAATTTTTAAATTAAATTAAAGAATTAAACATCTTATTTATTTATTTATTATCACAATACAAGCTGGGGCTAAAATTAGATTTATAATTCACAATATAGAAATGGTTTACATTTTTACATGTATATGAAGTATTAACCAAGATATGCAACGGTTAGCTAAAACTAAAAGGTATGTCCTAGTTGGAAATTTACCTCATTCACTTGCCAGGCTGATAGCGGGCATTGTTGGTGGTAGATCTAGGCACATTAAAAATATATAAACACCGTGAGTAGAAGGGGCGAATCTTAAAATTTATCTAATAGGAGTTCAGAATAGTCATTAGTACCATTAATTAATTTTTGAAGACATTTTTTCTTAAATTCAGTTTGATAGTTAATTAGAGACCATAAGTGAAGTGTGTTTAATGCAAGGAGGTACCTATTCTTGAGGGGCATGTTAAATTTTTAGAGTGAAGGCAACAAAACACAAAAATGTTCGTTGTACTTGTATAACCACACTTTTCCTTATTGTATTATTCTAAAATGAATTATTCGATATCCTGAATGTTTATATTTTAGTAAGCTTTATATATTACATTTTTAATTTATAAATATAGATGTTGTACCATAGCAAAGTCTTAATGGTCTGATGTAAATTTGTTTAAAATAAATATATTATAGGGGTTATCTCACTGAAAACTTGAAAAATTCTTTATAAATTGTACTAAATTGAACAGTAGATTACGCAAATACGGGAACTTAAATGCAAGTGTTATATCCTAACCAAATATGAAAAACAAGTATTTTGTTTAACAACAGAATACAATATATTACATATTCTTACTTTCATTAGTTTTATTTTATACTATTATTTAGATGAACGTACACAACGTGGCAACATCGTATCGGTATTTGGTTAACATATATTTAAATATTGAAGTTTTGTAGTTTGGGATAGTAAAATAAAAGTTTGCCAAATTAAGAAACAAAATACAAAAGAACCAACAAAACAAATTACATTTTAACATGGTAAATTTTTTTGTGAATATGTGGTCTACATGAAAATATTAGGTATATTATCTTGCGGGGTGTGGTAGTTCAAATGGGAAAAAAGAAACATTAATCAGTTGAATTCGATCAATAAAATTGATCTATAATTTTTTCCATAATTTCATCGGATTAAAAAATAAATATATTTATTTAATCAATGATAACATACTTAGGTATTCATATTTTTTAATATCATTATTTTTATAGGTACAGATAATGTGCGTCGTCTGGGATTTTTAGGGCGTGCCAAAAGTAGAACATTAAAGATGACAATCATTATTGTCATAGTGTTTGTTGTGTGTTGGACCCCGTACTACATTATGGCTATTTGGTGAGTGATTTTTTAAAAATTAATTTGGAAATCCTATATATATTTTTATAAAAATAATAACAGTGATATCGTTTTAAAAATCAATGCCAGTTATACATTTAACGATTTTAATTTGTTTGTTAAAAAATGTATCCTAAAACTATTACGATTTGCGTTTTTTTTATTTATTTATATTTCTATTAAGTGGAAGTTCGGACGTTATGCATGATTAACACTATCACAACCCATTAAATAAAAATAAAATTGTATTCGTATATGATAGTGGTTTTGATAACATCGACCATCGATACGAGTCAATAGCATTATGTATGAATTCAAATTAACTGAATACATTACTGTGTATTTTCATTAGTTTATAATGATAATTTACATAGAATCGTCATAAGTGTTATATTATGATAAAAGAACATTTAATTAATTGGATTATTTAGAATACTAAATATATTATGAAGAATTATAACAATAGAATATAAATATATACCTACCTACATTATAATAAACACATTTCTTGTTTACATGAAGACAGTGATTAGTGAGTATATTATTTATTTCCCCAATACGGATGGTAAGTTAAAAAAAAATATTTTCTAACAATGTTAGTACACCATTCAAAAATTATATTAGTTGAATGTTGACACGGAGTAAACTAAGTGTTTTTGTTGACATACAAAATTTATATTGTATAAGAAATCTTATTAAGTTTGATAAAATCAACAACCATCGAAAGAAAAAGTAAATAATAAAAAAATTTATAAAATATAGGTTTAAATACAAAAGAAAAAAAAATCATCTTAATATCAGTTTTTGACGTACTTGGAATAAAAAAATCAAGATCGTGTTTTTCTATTCATAATATTTTGTCAATTGAATACAATTAACTTTAACAGTAATTATTTATATTATGCTAAACAAAAAAATGTTTTTGATGGAATTTTTGAAGGATAAAATGATAATGCAATTTTTTTTAATAAGCGTTTAATGTTGACATTTTGAAAATTATTTGGTAGTTAAAAATGTTTTAGTTTTATAGCTAGGACTTGTGTGTAATACAATTGTAATACATTTCTCGTATCTTATAATTAATTGTTACTAAAACCTAAAGATCTAAAAATCTTATTATCACATTTTTTTTTTTTTTTTTTGATAGCTATTTGATATTGAAATTATGTCAAATTTGAATATTGAAGCGAAGAATATTGATTTTCGTTATTTTGTTGTAACTCAAAAATATTTGAGTTAATTTGAAACTCTTACGTATATTATTATATTGTATACAAGTACACAATTAAATTTTCAAAACATTTAGTTTAATTTTATGCTATTGCTCACCTATATATTATAATAAATAATGCAATGTTTTTACCAAAAATTAATTTAAAGTATGGTATTAAATATTTTAAAATAAATTACTTTGACAGCAATATAAATATTCAAAAAAATATACTTATAATAATATACCTCTACATTTTCCCTCGAAACCATTTATCGTATGCAATGAGTTAAAATTTAACACATTCTAATAAAGTGACCTACCCATGACGATGTCATGTACAATTTAACACTTAATATACAGCAGAATGGTTACCTACTATCTTAAAAACTTATTTAAATTAATTGTTGTACAATAATCTTATGTAAACCAAACATATTGTTTTAAAATCGAAAATGTTTTCAAAATAATTACAATAGTTCCTAGGAGTGCTATTATATTAGACTTTATAGTTCAGTAATCAATATACAAAACCATGATTTTCTGCTTTAACAATATGGCAAAGGGAAATATTCATTTCATCTAAATCTTATTTAATTTAATGTAAACTTCTAAGTGAAACATTCAAATACAATTTATATATCAGTAAACTATTACTGTATTGTTACATTTTAAAGCTTTATAATGTATAACTGTTTGAACCTAATAAAGTATATTAGGCTATTATAGTTTCAATATATAATTTTAAATTAATTTATTGTAACAGCAGTACTGGGGAAACACATAGATATCAGTATTCAAAGAACTGTTCTCCGGTTTAATTAATACAATATTGTTTATGTTATCACGCGTGTAGTCATTTTGCATACACAATGCGCCGTCTTACAGTTTGTACTACCTGAATACTAAAATTAATTTGATATTATTGATAATAATGTATTCTTGGTGATTAGTATATATTCCATTACTAGACAGGTTAAAACTTACGGAATTATATTCAGGAATTAGGCCTGTCCATTTATATTGATTGAATTAAACGTAAACACGTATTGTTTTTACAAATGTCATCATCGGTAAAAAGTTACTAAAAGCAATACCCTTATTTTACACTACATACTAATTTTATTAAAAAATAAGAAAACACAATACAAACTATATAGATACTATACTTTTATTAAAATAACTATTAATAGTACGATATTTTGCCATGGTAATCAATAAAATTATTTATGAATCACTGAACTGAACACTTGGTACCTACTACCTAATATATGTATACGTTTGGTGGTATTTTATAGTTCACAAAACATTATGAAAATAACGCCCACGTATGAACTACCATTTTGTTTCAAAACAAATAAATAACAATATGTTACCATCGAATCAGTTGAAAAAAAATGTTGTATCCATATTATTTTTTATTTTATTTTATATTGTAACCATGGTGCGGAATAAAAACGGCATACATCTCAGTTCTTATATCAATTCCAAAATATATTCGGTTCCATTTTACGAATATTTTGGAAATAAATGTAAATCAACCATTTAAATAATACTCAATATTTAAATACTCATTAAGGTATAAAATTAAAGGTAAATTATTATTAATGCGCAAATATTTATATTTGTCTTAAAATGAGCAGAATAATTGTAATTACGTTACAATGGAAGATCTGCAGTTACAATAATACTCGAACAAACTGATGAAAGGGAGTGAGAGGAAAACAATAAGTTGTGCATCCATCCATATTCAATTTGATTGTTTTATATTTGACTATCATAAATAGCTCACTTACCTAAGTCCCAATCTACTATTTATCTATTATATTATTGCCATTTCATACTAATGATAACAAACAGAATAATCAATTAAAATTACTCATACAAAATTACTAGCAGTATGATGCTGTGGCTGATGTAGAGTGTTTAACATATCATGGGTTGCTGTAGAATTTGGTAAAATATTGAAGTTTTAATAATAATTTATCTTTAATTTAATTATGATAATAATAACGAATAATGCAAGTTATTTTAGTTTTTAACCTCATACAAATTTTTTTTTTCAAGAAACATTACAAATATAAATGGAATGGATATAGTTGATAGATTACAAACAACATTTTGTTTAAACAAGTAGGTATGTAAGGCGTTTGAAAATGTTACACAAGTAATGTCTATAAGTAATTAAAATTACCCGGTGAATTTTTTAAATAATTAGTACCAAAACATGAAGTGTGGGAATTTATGTCTTAACGAATGAACATAATTTACTGTTATATTAAATTACTCATAAAACTAAATTATTCTACCTGTGTGCTAAATTATTTTAATCACAATAATATTATATACTATTAGCATACCTGTATAACCAATTATATACTTATTTATTTTAGATTTTGAGTGGAACGATGAATGTATTGGTTTTACAATGATGTGTGTTTTTTTAATTTTTATTTTCATTTTTTGTGTCTGTCATCACGGTTGGGGGCAATAAAACTGCTTCTATTTTTTCAACAGTATCTTAATCGATGGGAAAGTGAATCTAGTTGGAGCATTTGAGTGGTCAAATTTTAAAATTTCCAATAGTTTCCAAAAGCGCAGGGAAAAAGAACATAATAATTGAGGAAAAACGAGAATTTTTACTCAAAATCGGATTTCCAAAAAATCGATTTTGGTTTTCGGTATAACTCTAAAACAAATTAATGTATATACATTTTCACTGGTTGTTTATATTTGCATTTTCTATACATGATAAAATTTTCAAAATATTTTGATTTGTTTTGAACTGTTTAGGAACATTTCCAGTTTCCAATTTTATTAGTATTTTTTTCTATGAATGTCAATAAAACATTATTTGTTGGGTAAAAGACCTTGAAAATTTAACACAAGGCTCCTACTATATTGTTACAATAGTAGTTGAAAAAGATTAAAAATCCTTACTCACAGTTTATTTTTATAAGCATTTAAAGTTCAAATCTTGACAAAATACGGAAAAATCACGAAAATTAGCAAATTATTTTGAGTTGAGAATTCATAAAAACTGTTCTCTTTAAATCTAAGATTTAAAAATGTAATACAAGATTACTCATAAGCTTATCTACCTTTATCAAAAAAAAAAAATGTCTACAAGCAAATCAAATTAAATTTTTATGAGCGTTTAAAGTTCATATTTTTACAATATTGGATATTTACTCGATTTCTCATGTCGTGGTTTTGTTATTTTATTGTTTTTCAAAAACTAATAACTATAGATACATGAAAATTTTACTGAATGTTTGTTTTTCATTTTGTATACACCAAAAAAATTTGAAAATACTTTGACTCTTTTTGAGCTCTTTACGGACATTGTCAGTTTTCAATTTTCTTAGTTTTTTATTCTATAAATATCAATTAAATTTTATTTGTTGGATAAAAAAGCTTGAAAATTTAATGCAAGGCTCTTGATATATTGTAACAATAGCAGTTGAAAAATATTAAAAATACCAATGGAGAATTTTGTTATATAAGCATATAAATTTCAAATTTTTATAATTATTTTGTAATTAAAAATGTATAAAATGTTCAACTTTTATAGCTAAGGATTGAAATTTTAAAACAATAGTCCACGGAAATAGGTAAATATATAAATTACTTTATTCTCAATAATATCATCAAATATAGGTACTTAGTAATATCATAGGCTGATTGACCGTTTTCGCTCAGAATCGTTTTTCTTATACAAGGATATTATATCATTGAATTCAAATTTAGTACCTACTATCCATTACAGTGATCCACTTGTAACCTACTGTACAGCAGAGCGACTTTTTTTAAATAAAATTAATAATCATACCTACCTAACTTTTTTAAAGCTAACAAATAACATAATAATTTAATAAATCAATAAATGTCTTACAATTTTAAAAAACGTGTTTGTTATAAATTAGTAGTAAATTGTAAATTAGTAGGTACTTATATTTGTATATTATACTTTAATTAATGATGAGTTCCAATAAAATAATAAAATAATTGTTATGTATTTGTAAACGTAAATTGTCCAAAACTATACTAAATATTATAAAAATCAAATTCTGAGTTCATTATTATTTATTAGAATACTACACCTATGGGCCAAGTTATCACTGTTATTCTATAAATAAATAAAAATATAATAATAAGTAAAAATATTAATAATAATTAGGTATAGGTTAGGTTATATGTATGGGATAGGTACTGAGTAAATTGTTATATTTTTCTTTTATTAATGATGCGGTAACCTCTAAAACAACTGTCTATAATATAGTTATATAATACAGTTGGGGGCAGTAAAATTGCTTCGATTTTCTTCAACAGTATCTTGTTCGATGGGAAAGTGAATCTAGTTGGAGCATTTGAGAGGTCAAATTTTAAAATTCCCAATAGTTTCTTAAAGCGCAAGGATCAAGAACATAATAATTGAGGAAAAACGAGAATTTTTTCTCAAAATCGGATTTCCACAAAATCGATTTTGGTTTTTGGTATAACTCTAAAACAAATTAATGCATATACATTTTCACTGGTTGTTTATATTTGCATTTTCTATACATGATAAAATTTTCAAAATATTTTGGTTTGTTTTTGAACTTTTTAGGAACCTTTTCGGTTTTAAATTTTATTAGTTTTTCTATAAAACATTATTTGTTAGGTAAAAAAGCTTAAAATTAAAGCTTTAATACAAGGCTCCTACTATATTGTTACAATGTCATTTGAAAAATGTTAAAAATCCTTTATCACAGTTTTTTTATAAGCATTTAAGGTTCAAATCTTGACAAAATACGGAAAAATCACTAAAATTAGCAAATTATTTTGAGTTGAGAATTCATAAAAATTTTTCTTTTTAAATCTATGATTTGAAAATGTAATACAAGATTCATAAGTTTGTCTACCTTTGTCAAAAAAAAAAAAAAAATGTCTACAAACTAATCAAATTAAATTTTTATGATCGTTATTTGAAGTTCATATTTTTACAATATTGGATATTCACTCGATTTCTCATGTAGCAGTTTTGTAATTTAATTGTTATTCAAAAATGAATAACTTTAGATACATTACAATTACATTTTCATTTTCTAAACACCATAAATATTTTGACTCTTTTTGAGCTGTTCACGGACATTGTCAGTTTTCAATTTTTTTAGTTTTTTTTCTATATCAATAAAATTTTATTTGTTTGCTAAAAAAGAGTGAATGCAAGTTAAAAATTTATAAAATGTTCAATTTTTATAGCTAAGGATTGAAAATTTAAAACAAGGTTCCACATAAATAGGTAAATATATAAATTACTTTATTCACAATAATACTTACTAATAGGTATATCATAGTATGACTGACCGTTTTCGCTCAGAATCGTTTTTCTTGTACAGTGATATTATATCATGCAGAGCAGAGATGCTATGTACAGCAGAGCGACATCCACTTACCCACTTTTTATCATTAGTCACACTCACTCTTAGTAAAACCATGAATAATTAGGAATTGTACAAAATAATCTAATATAGACCAATTTATTATAAATGAAAACAATACATCATAAATTAAATAAACATGTTACAATTTACTTTGTGATATGAAAACTATACTTAATTATTTCTACGTTATCTATGCGTTTTATAAATATACTATTTTAGTTTCAATATTTTTACTATTTAATAATATCATTATAAGTACCTATAGGATAATCGTACCTCATGCATTATATTAAATGTAGGTACTATAATGTTAAAGTTGCGTAATTGTATACGAAACAAAATATTATGTTTTGGTTATTTTCTTCCATACTTTTAGAATATTTTTATATTATCCTGTATAGAAAAAATGCAATGATTAATTCGATTTTATCTCTTTCTAATGTTGGTGAATAAATCATATTCTATCTTTATCTCTGAGTGTTTGCTAAGTAGAGTGATAACCTATTCTTCTATATCATACGTAAATCCGTGTTTTAGGTGAATTTATATGACAGCAGAAGCACTTATAAACGAAATAATTTGGTATAGGAATGTTCATGTGGCTGACAGCATGAGCAATTATGGATAACAAAATAATTCCAATAAAAAACTTTTCTTAAACATGCGTTCTCGCTAGTGACTCTAGTCAGGAAGTTCGGTGAACGCAGGCTTCATGAATGACGAGATGAATGACAACTAAAAAGTATCCAACGACATAAATATGATTATTATAGTTCTGCAATGTCAGCCGTCCATACTACATCGTATGTACACCGCTTCCACACGATTTATTTTATTTAAAGTTAAAAACGGTAGCTTTTCTTTCATTTGAAAAGTAAAAACCAAAAAAATCGTCTTAATACAACAGCAAAACAACAATTAACATTACATCGTAATCAGAAGAATAAAACCTCTGCAGCTAAGGAATTGGTAACATTTTAAATTAAAAATAATTCGGGCGGTGGAACACCTAGAAGTGCAGCTTCCCAACCGTAGCCAATATATCTAGGTACAAAGTTTATCATGATAAATGTATTGCACTCAATGTATAATATTAAGCAAAAAGTACCTTCACTAATTATCCCCAAAACAAGTTTATACTGAGCGTGCCAAATAAAAATTACAATCCTCTGACCAAAATAACTAAATCTATTACCTACTAGTGAAAAATGGAGTACAAATCAAAGGTCCACATTACTCCGATCTCCCGTGACCAAACATCAAAAACTATTCTTCACGCCAAACCGTTATATTATATTTTAACACTCAGACTAGGTACTGAAACAGAAACTATGGATGATGAACCATCTGAATCACCAGAATTTAACTCCACCTCACAAATATCACCACCCTCTTCTCTACTACCACCAATATTTATAAGTCTGTCAGTAACTTCGACCAACTATGTATCAAGATCAAAGAAATAATTAACGCTGAAGATCAATTTATATGTAAAAGCTCTATAAACAGTATTTAACTAACTATAGGTACCAATACACTAAATGTATACAGACTAATTATAATATTCTTACAAGAAATTAATACCATATTCCATACATACCAACTTAAACATGAGAGAGCATTTAGAGCCACAATAAGGAACCTACACCACTCGACCGATATACAAAACATAAAAAAGGAACTAGAAGACCAGGGCTTCAAAACAAGAAACATAAACAATGTAAGTACTTCAAAAACAAACAAAACAATTAGAATCATACTTAGAACCTTCAACTACTAAACCATATAAAACAAACCTTCCCCACCACATTCAACAACTCCACTCAGAAAAAATACAACCCCGAAACCAATAGCAAAGAACAAGAATGCCTAGTCACGAAAAAATCTCGAATCAATCAACTAATTCTCTTAACCTTATAAACGATTTCATACAAATTCAAACTCCCTCATTCAAAATTATCCTCTATCGAGCTACATGATACAACAAGTAGACTACAAATGAAATGGTCCAGAGACCAGCTCTAATCCTAACTTTAAAAAAAAAAAAAACAAAACAAAAATTCATAAAAAGTTAATGGTCTATAAACTTGAACTCTGATCACTACATAATTAATGTAATTTTTACTTATTATACCTATTTAACTGTAGATTATAGAGTAATACAGTGGCGTCATTTCAGTTTTTATTAGACTAGGGCAACTTTTCACTGCTTATCCAACTCAACATTTTTTTTTACTCAGATTCTCATAGCATAGTGCCATAGCGGTTAAGGGTGATGGTGTGGGGGAGGGGTAAATGTGCTGACTTAAGGTTGATGTAAATACTAGACTGGGGCAAATGGTCCAGTTGCCATCCCTCAAATGACGCCACTGGAGTAATATCAATGGATATTTTCTCTCGTCATGGGAACCCCATGTCAAAAACTCTTATATTTGTCCAATGTATTTATTATATTATTTAATATAGACTGTAAAAAAAAACATGACTATGATACAATTTAGGTTTACATACAATTTAGATTTACACACAGTTTTCTGTGGATAATATTACACATATAAGCATATTTTTTGTAGTTATGCCGATTGCGAGGACTAATAATATAAGACAGTATACTTGATCGATTTATTTCATTGGATGAGTGACTGAAGAAACGCTGATATAAAAGAAAAATTTGCAATTTTTAAAATATACTTATTTATTTAATCTGCTATTTTAAAGAAAATATATAACTTTTAATCTCTGGACAAAAAATTAAAAATACTGAGACTGATTAATTTGACAGTTACAAGATGTCGAATGCAATTTTATATTACAATATATATAATATATATAATATCTTATTTGAAACATTGTTATAGTCGTCTGAAGATAAGTTCATATTAATACCATACATTTTGTATTATATAATATTATAACGGTATTTCTGACATTTTTGTATAGGTATAATATCAAAATAAAATCTCATTTTTAGATTCAAGGGAGTTATTCGAGTATTTTTTTTTTTATTAAAATAATAAAATAACTCACCAACTTTGATGTAATACCTCTGTGATGTTGACATTTAGTTTAAAAAGTAGAAAAGTTTTTTTTTGAATTTCTTCTAGTTAAGGATACATATTGTGAAACTCAGAAAAAATAACAATGAACATGATTTTCATTCATATAATTTTAATATTACAATGTACAATTTACCCACCTATGACCTATCTACATTTATACAAAATATAGAATTATGCAACTATTTTAATATAATCTTAATTATTTTTACGTTAACTGAGTTTTCTTCAGAATTATCACGTACATCTATCATTGCGGTTAAAGATTAAATAACTAATTTACCTAACTTAGTTCCTATAAAACAGGCCCGGGTCTCTGTGCGCCACGTAAAAATTGGGCCGGTAGCCAAAAAAATGGCCGTTTTTATTTTCGGGAAAAAATAATCTAGTCTTTTTAGGTAGTGGAATAATGCAGAATGATATAAATATATAAATCAAATTTGTTGATTAATAACGATGAATGCGTCAGTTGTATAACAGATTAAATTATTAAATTATTTAATCTGTACCTAGTTGAATATTACTGTATTGGGCATTTCATTCCAGAAAAATATTAGATAGAACTTTCGAGTAAAAATGAATATATAAAATTGGACTAAACAGGTACCGCTCTGATGAACATCAAGTGTCATTCGGGTCACTTTATTATAGATGTGTTAAATTTGAATTCAATAATATAAAATCATTGTATACGAAAAACGTTTCTGAGCGTAGAGAAGGTCTTTCAGCCTATAATACCAACCGTAGCTTAGGGATCTAAACTTCTATTTTTCATTTTTTTATACTTCTCTTTGGAAGATTTATTATGTGCATAGTATCTATAAAGATAAGTGAAAAATAAAATAATTGCCTTTGCTATAGTTCACTAACTACTGTCGGGTTGTACGATCAATCACCAAACATTTAACGAATCAATATTGAGCTAATGATCCCTTAAACATGATTTAGTTGCCCATGATTGGTCCATTACATTTTATTGAACCATTTAATTAATACATTTTTTATGCCACCCGGCATAACTGCATAAGTACCTACCTAACTTTTTACTGATACTCTATATTGTATGATTTGTAAATATGAAAAACAATTATGAACTAATGCATACCTAGTTAAATTTTTAAAAAAAATCAATATATCCTTCGACTTTTTTGATTGTAGTATAAATACAATAAGAAATTAGGTACTACATTTTTTGTCGAATGGGCCGATTCTTTTTGAGGGCCGATAGAAATTTAAAATCTCGGCTGGCTGAAAATTCTCAATCTAGCGCTGCTATAAAACTATTGGAAATTGAAAAAGTATTTCACGAGTATTAATCATAAATGTTTCTAATTAATATTTGACTTTAAGAATGGTTTAAATGTATTTTTAATCAGCATATTAAATTGGAAGATAAGATACATTTATAATGTAAAAGTAATATGGCTTTAAGAAAATTACTGTTTATTATGTAGCATATAGGATAATACTGAAAACACACGTTATAGTTTTTCAAAATATATTTCAAAAGCTTGCTAATTTTCATTTAATTATTTTTAAACATTTAAAGTATGAACAATTTTTACACACCTAAGACCTAATTCTTGTTTGTTGGAAATTCAGAATCATATCTATTTACTAATGCTTCTGATCTTTTACATTATATTTTAGTTAGGTAAGTAAATAATTCTTGCATATTTAAAAATACTTAATGTTACGCGTGTACGTAACTATAAAATGGTGTCTATCTCTGATACTGTGATAACTGACTGATAATATCAAATGAGAGGGGGGAAACAAAATTATAATAATTTTAAATTTTATAAGTCTCTTATTAGTTATACCAAGTTCAATTTAACGTGTATTAAAATAAAATGTTTACCAATGACTTGGTAATAGTAAAAGAGCAAGCGAAGAAAGTAAGAAACGAGATACTTTGCACACACATTTATTTTTTCTATTACTAGTTATTATACATTTACTAAATAGTAAATTATTCAAAAAATAATTGATGTGTAGACGTGTAGTGGACGTCATGATAATAAAATAATATATATAACTAATTTAAGATGCATCTTTGATCTGTTTTATGTACATATGCACTTATATCATAGTAAAAGATAAATGCCGTAATAGTGTTTCAGCCCATTACACTAACTTACAAGTTATACTTAAATTAAATTAAAACTGTTGTCGACTAAGTCTACCTCGAGAGTTACATACTTCATAAAGCTCATATTTTAATGTCTTGAACTGTCACGTACTACAAACAGGGGTAACCGCGTTTAGAGTATATTATAGCCTTATCGTTTGTGAATTGGATCCATTATGTTATCTATAATCTGTCGGATTTATACAAACAATAATAATAAATCATAATGTGAGATTTTTAAGCAATTGTATGGATTATTCCAGTACCTACCTACTCGATGTTTCATTACTGTAGTGGTCTAGTGAAAATACAATTTGAATTAGCATGGTTCAACAAATATACGATTTCAAAATAATTATATGCTTAGACTTTCCTTCAGTTGAACTGCATACAAATCATGGGTTCTGCGTGTCAGTGAATAATTTAATTTTCCTAGTATAGACACGACTTGGCCCACGGGGAAATGTCCCTATGTTCCCATGGGTATTAAGTAGGTACTAGGTATTTCTCCGATTACGAGAAAAAAACTCGTATACATTTTTAACGCGATATCATATTATAATATTATTATTTTATTGCTCTCTTCGTGTTACTACATAATACTAGTGAAGTTGTTTCACACACCCTTCGTTGTCCACACGGTATATTTGGTTATGATAAAATTTACTCGAAGTGACAGCCACGACGATTTGTATAATATATTATAATCTAATTGTTTTAATCTCACCCGTCTGGCCTCACACGTTACGAATAAAACTGCAATACATTGTTATCACACGTGTATAATGATCAAAGTATATATTATTATTATATATACTGGGTGATTCTTTTATCAAACAACACTCATTATTTCAAAAAGTGTAAATTTTTTTGAAGATATTTTTTTACATAGTTTCAAGTCGCTTATAAAACAACGTTTTTATTAAAAAACTATATTTTTAATTATTTTTTATCCTTATAATTTTTTAAGTTTTTTACTTTTTTGAATGACAACATAGGGTTTTAATTTTATATTCTAAAGTAGAATATTTTTCTTAGTATTTTGATACATGAAAATTGAATTTGGGGCGAGTAGTTTATGAGTTATAAGTATTTAAAGTTTAGACGAGCGGTGAAGTGGACAAACATTTCGCGGGGTAACCCCGAACCACTCCACTCCGCACCATCACGGTGAATTAAGGTCGGGAATCTCACTCGAATCATATACTATTATATTATGAATAATTATGATAATGTATAATTATTATGACGAGACAAATGTAATAAGAAGGAGCCGAGC